GGACAAAGCCGCCACCCACCAAGCAGACTAGCAACACCAAGACGTGGCTTGGTTTTTACGCAGCTAGCTAAGGGTGAGGGGGAGAGACACGCCGAGGATTCTGCCGCACCAAGGCCGTAATTCCTGAACCCAGGAGAGAGGAAGACAGACAGACAGATAGATAGACAGATAGATAGACAGACAGACATACAGACAGACAGACATATAGACAGACAGACAGGGAAGAGAGGAGGGTATTGTAGGGACTAGGAGGAGCAAGCCGCCTTGTTGTGCCGTCATTCACTGTGAATTTTGGTCCACCAAAGGCAGGCTTCTGCGTCAGACCACAAAGACAGAGGAATGTATGTGTGTGTGTGTGTGTGTGTGTAGTTTACGCAACGTTTGTTTTCATGCATATTTATAAATTCAAATTTGTCTTCTTAATGTTGGTATGTTTTCTACGCTTTCATGTGAAATGTGGCATTCAGCAGTGTTTATATTCAGAACATAATTGTGGTTAGAATAATTTTGAAGACCATATGTATTACTTAATATGACCAATTTGTTTGCCCTTAGGCAGTGAAAGGAAGAGAATACATATAAAGAAATAGTATTCTATTCAATGTTACAATAGTCCTATCTATATATCTTTAATTTAATATATGTATGATTCAATCTAAATTGATAGATAGACTTATCTTTAATTTGATTCTATAAATGCAATCTCTAATATCCTTCCTCTTTCCTCAAATCAGAACTCTCGAGGACAGCAAAAAATATAAGCGTCGACGGAACGCCATTTCGCCGCAGCTGCCAGCCAGTACGCAGAAAACACGCAGCCAGACCGATTGCCAAAAGCTTTAACGAGCTCTCATGTCTATAAAAAAAGGAAAAAAAAAGAACAAGAAATGAAAACAGAAAAGAACCAAAATATTTAAATATCTCTGTAGCGGCTTAACTACCCACGTCGAACTGTTAGTGTTCACCGCGACGGAGAATGTTCATTTTGTAGATAGTGAGGTAACGCCAAGAGACGGAGGCGTAGAAGAAGAAGAAGTGAAAAAAATACCGAACTGTGATACAAGTTAATGTGAAGAGAAACCTATCTGCCTTAATATAGCTGGCCTTTCTCAAAATCTTCCTTTTCCTTTTTTGGGATATTCTTGCCGAGTCTAGAAGAGGAAGACTACAACCGAAGTCCTTTTTTCTTTCTTTTTCTTTTTTTTTTCTTTTTTTTTTTGAGTATCTGTTTCTCGTACTTAGACTCCTGTTTCTCTTGTGGAAAGCTCTCAGGCAGCATTGTTTTAATAGTACCATTAATTAATTCTGTGATTTACTGTTCTCTTTACTTTAAATAATAAGTGTATAAAGGGGATACTTTGTAGGGAAAACATATTTAGGTAGAGAATGAGTCAGTGAATGAGCAGTTAGAGAGAGAGAGAGAGACAGACATACAGACAGACAGACAGACAGACAGAGACAGAAAGAATGAAAGTAAGAAAGAATGAAAGAGGAGGGAAAGAGAGAGTGTGTACATGTGTGTCCCTTAATGCATGTATGTGTAACAAAGGATATACATAATCATTTGTATGCATGGGGATTTCTGATATCCAATACTTACTTACCATCACAAACTATGTATCTAGTTACTTGTGGGAACCATTAATGTTTTTTTAGGCCTTAGTAGCAGTCATTAGAGAGGGATTATCAGAAACTATCTTTTTTCTTTCTTACTATATCTTTTAAAAGACTATATCCCCCAGATTGCTGTACATACAACTCTATTTATATAAGAATGCCCATTTAAGATGCAAACTTTCTCCAATCCATTCAACTAAATATAGTACGGGACACTGATTACCTAAGGTCTCCTCTTTCACAGCAAATATAGAGTTAATTCAATAATCGAAAATTATTATTGACTGTAGGGAAATGTTTTGGGTAAGTTACTGTGGGTTTACAGGGACACATAACACTTTATTCTGAGAGGAAAGGAAAGTTTTCAATATTTGTATTGTAATGACAAAGAGGGGGATTTTTTCATGGTTTATGTGAAGTTAAATTTGGTGCATGTTATTTTCAGGGGAGTTACTGATCACAAATTAATGTAGGTGTATTATCAGGTTTAGCTTTTTGAAAATGTGGGAGAAACACATTGATATATGCATGTTTGTATACATACATGCACACATATATACACATACACATGTGTTTATATTTGTATGCATGGATATATATGCACATATCTATATAAAACTACTTCCGGGCTATATTTCCATTCCCTTCCATTTTCTTTGTGATGTTTAATGGCAAAAGGCAAATCCTTTCAGTCACACAATTTATTCTTCCGTAGTTATTTTTGTGGATCACGACGTAAATTCATTGTTATTGTTGACAAAGTTGTTATATTTTTTGTTTTTTTGTTTTAATGAACCCGTAAGCTGATGTAGTTTTTTTTATGGAAGGTTACTACTAACTATCGTTTAGTATAACAGTAATGTATTCTAATGCTGTGGACAACGAAAGAAAAATATTTTAGGTGTTTTTTTTGTTATTAATGATGTTTATATCCTTGAGAAAAAATTGATATATGTTAGTAACTTACCCGAAGTTTGATGTGATAAAATAAGGGTATCTAATTTGTGAGTTTTATGTTAATCTTATCAGTGGAAGGATTAATTACACATTAGAAAACATGAGATCAGCGCACACATAGAGCTGAAGTTGCCATTAAGTTTAATTGAAAGTTAATGTTACTTGTTCTTCCGAGAGAAGTTGATTGATTTGTAATTAACGTTGTAGATTACTTTCTTTTTTAGAGGGGTAGAATTTTAGTTTCTATATGTATATTTTTTATATGGATTTTATCATATGTTAAAAATTTATCTTTTATTGAGATATAGAACTGTACTGTATTGATACGTTTACTTCAGGTCACAATTACAGCTGCTTAAAATACAAATTATTATGTAGATAAATTCAGAAGATATTTATAAGTATATCGTGAATGATACAGGGAAGAAATAGCCTAGGGATACAAGTGTAAATCAGATATTGTCAAACTATTGTTAAATTATTCACTGGATATGACGCTTTGCATCTGTCATGATTATCTTTATCATTCCTCTTTGTAACAGTTCTCCCTATAGATATGGTGTCACTCAAGGGTGATTGTATAGTATACTATGGCTCAAAAACTTTGTGCGTGTTGTTAATGGTTTACGCTCGTAGTAGTGAACACGAGGACTTGTACAGTTTAAAGTATCATGGTTTCCTCTTTCTCTCTACGTAAGCATATTTTTGTACCTTACTAAGATGAGTGCTAGAAAAGAGGAAATGCCACTGAAGGAATGTTATGGGAGTGTATAACGTGTACTTTGAGATAATGACTAAAAACATGCTTTACCCCAAACAGTATTTAAGAGAGGTAGTCAGCCAACGAAACAAAGTAGGTGGTAGTCTTTTCCTTATTTTTTCCCACGTTGATATCTCTTAAAATAATCATTATTAAAAGAAAAAGAGTAAAAGAGTATGCAATAAAGTATTTGGGAATTCGAACTGCATCTAGAATATTCTGTAGCTGTGAGGAAGCAAGAGTTTAAATGACAGTATATATAATCTCTAGGTTTTGTCCGTCCTATGATAGAACAGGTACTCTTGCTTCGAACGCGTGCACTAAATTCAAGGAGAAATGTTAGAGACCGCGAATTAAAATTGGATTATTTGTACTTAATGAACATGTTAGAGCCTTTGCATAATTATTTACGCGCAACGGTGAAAGAAGTGTTTATGTAGTGGGCGTTTTTTATCTTGCATGCATACATTACATTGATGTATGCAATTTGGCATAAACAAGAACAGGATTACAAAGTTAAAGTATATTATTTTTCGATACACCCACGCGTGCACGTAATATCCACGCACACCCCACACACACGCATACGCGCACGCACGCACGCACGCACGCGCACACACACACACACACACACACACACACACACACACACACACACACACACACACACACACACACACACACACACACACACACACACACACACACAAACAAACTCAAACAACAAATACTCTTTACCATGTGTACTCTCAGACGTAAAAACTAGGGATGAATATATTATAACTACAATATAATTAATAATTCATTAGAACAGCGTCAATTAATTTATGTGAAAGGTTCAAAGAAATTGAACCTCTGTCCTCCATCCATATGAACGGTACTCTTGAACTTACATTGTGATATATGTGGATACTTGCACAAAAAATGTAGATTTTCTTTTCTACTTATTGACAAACTTTGAGTTGCTGATACATGCTCGATGTATGAAGGGAAATCCCATGAAAGAGAAGAATTATGTTAATAAGGAAGATATGTTATGTTTTTTTGTGGGATTTTTAATTGAATGGAAAAAAGGGTATTTATTTAAATAATAAGCTCAAAAATGACAAGGAATGCTACGAATAAAAACAAATATATATATATATATATATATATATATATATATATATATATATATATATATATATATATATATATATAACCTAGATTGAGAGAGCTATCATTCCGTGTTGCAAAACTGTTTCTCTTTCTTTACCTCAGCTTGCGGGCCACGCGGCTCTACTGAAAAAATGGAGTGAGGTATTAATATATTTTCCTGCAATTTTATAATCTTCCCAGACTCATGCATTGCAATGGAATATAGTATGTGATGTTGCAATAGAGTTATAGTGCCTCCTCACATTTGCAACATTTTATTGGCTCCTCAGATACAGAAAGAAGCAATGTTCTCTATGTTGTTTGGAATTGCAAATAGGATTCTCATCTATGTGGTCCTCTTTCTTGCAACATTCCGAAGTTAGCGCTTGCAATACTAATGGTGTTGCAATAATTTTCATTAGAGATCTCTTTTACTTGACCCTTTCTTCTGCAATCTTCGTCTGCACCTTGTCCATACTTGCCTAGAAGTATATGCTCACTGAGTGGCCTATGTGGCCCATATTAGGAGTATAGGATAAAAAAAATAATAATGATTGCTGAATGTTTTAATTCAGCCTTACAAAACGTTTTCTTTTTCCCGTGGGTTTATATTTAATCCCATTTTACATTAATTCTTTATGTCTTTCTTTCTTTTCTTTTCTTTTTCGCGGGTTTATTTTAATGTGTTTTATCCCTCTTTTATTGAATGATGTCTTTTTTTTAATGAACAATTACTCTAGGTTGTATTTGTGTGGTATGATACCAGTGAATAGAATCATTTTAGGAATACTAGTTTTGATAAAAAATATTTCCTCGATATTCCATGACCGTCGCCATAGTTAACTGAGATGGCGAGGACGCTGAGTTTCAGTTCCCGGTGATGTTAACTTTGGGTGACAATTTTCTTGACTTGTGGTGTTTTTTATTATCGAGAGGGAATTCTTGGTCACAGTTTTCTTTTTTTTATCGTTTAGTTAATTAAAGGACCTGTCAAGCTAGAACTTTTTTCCGTCAATTTTTGTGTTGAACTTTCCGTATGTAAATGGACTGACCCTACGAAGGCAGCAAACATAGTGTCCATGTAAACAAATATGGCGCCACCCGTGTGAGGTCCTGGGAATCACACGCTATTTTAAGAAATAAGAATATTATATCTATAAATATTCTAGAATTCTGACTTGTGTTTATATCAACTTATTATCTAATAAATAAAAAAACATTCAAGTTGTAGAGAACCTCTGTAACACAAGATCAAGACGGAAATGGTTGCAGGCGTCTTCGTCAGGGAAGCGGTCTGTTTGCATGTGAAAAGTCTCGAATTGAGATCGAAACGCGAAAATTGACCTAAAAATCGCTAGTGTGATAGAGCCTTAAAATACACGCGTTGTTTTTCATATATCCTTTTTATTTTCATTTTTATTTCATTAGTATGGTTCATGATTTTTTGCAAATGCACTGTCTAGTGACGGCAAAGGTTCCTGTAACACTTATCCTAGTACATACATAAACATATATTTTTGAACGATTCTCAGAAGAAGGTGGTTGAGTATTTATATTGTATTTATGAAAATGGATCAAATGGATCATTCCCAAAGGATGTGATATCAGTCTTAGCTGTAAGCTTTATGGTTTTAGCATTCCATGAATTTCGGTTATGAAGTAATTGATGACTGAGTTTCTAAGGAGTACATATATAAATATATATATATATATATATATATATATATATATATATATATATATATATATATATATATATACATATATGTATATGTATATATATATATATATATATATATATATATATATATATATATATATATACATATATATATATATATATATATATATATATATATATATATATATATATATATATACATATATATATATATATATATATATATATATATATATATATATATATATATATATATATATATATATATATTTATTTATATATACATATATACAAATATGTACTTTTTGATATGTTAAATGAAGTGGAAAAGTAAAATAACTTAAAAAAGGAATCACAAATACTCTGTTACCGCACCACAATATAAAACTAGTTAAAGGAATCAAAGAATTTTTTGACGCCTAGATAAGCAAAGCGGAAACAGGAAAACTTATATTTATGTATATAATTGTAAAAAGAGTATATATATACTTATATATATTCGCATATTCTTTCACACAAGGTAAAGGTGTAAATGATGATAATCTAAGAGCCGCTTTAGTATCATTCAATGGCTGAAAGAGACCGCGTTCGTTCGGAAAATGGCGTTCTCTCAATCCTTGCGTTTTGACTTCGCTCCAGTTTCATCTCAGGTGTTCGGATTGTAGAAGAACGACGCTTTCGGAAGGAATTAAATAATTCTTCTCTCTATCTTTTTTTTTTATTGTGCTAAGTCAGTAGATTTAAGAATCATATATATATATATAAAGACTTTAAAATTTTCTTTTGTGTGGACACGTTTCCTGAAATCACAATTATGATTATTTGTGGGTGATTTCGTTACCTCTGTGTATATGTTGGGATAACTTGTGATTTGTAATATTGTAGGACCATTTTTTTCCACATTTTAATTTCTTTGCTTGTAAGGAAATGGAATATGTATATGAGAGATTAGTAAATGTCTTTGTTACAGAAAAAATGTTTTTATTTTTCCCGATGAATACAAGGATTAATACAGTAATTTATACAGTAACATTTGTTTTCTTCAGTGAACACCAATTACAACATCGTGAAAATATTACCTTTACATTAAAGGTCTTTTTTTAGGTATGATTACTTTGATATAGATTCTTGTACATTCCAACATATATGTTCAAGTCATAAATGAAAACGAGCTTAATTCTATATATTTGTGACAAGTGAATAACTCATGAGAAGAATCTAATCCTATTCAGTTATGTAATTCAGTGAAATTTAATATTATTACAGTTGAGAGAGTAGTCACATTCATATAAAAAGTGAAAACGCATTCTGTATTTTATTTTTTCTCAGACTAAAATGACAATATTACATATGATAGTAAAGAGAATAAGAATAACAATGATAATTAAAACAATAATAATAATAATGATAATGTCCATGATAAGGTTACCCATCATTATCATCATTATCATATTGATATCACACAAAATTAATAGTGATGATACGAGTACAGTTTCAGCTAATTCTGCGACAATTTATGATAATAGTAATGAAAACAATACCTATTGTAATGATAATAATGATAGCAATGTAATGATAATAAAGATGATGATAAAGATAATGATAATAACAATGACAGTGGCAGCGACAATAACCACGAAGACTATGACGATGAAGATGATGATGAAAATGAAGCTGAAGATGACGATGGTGATAAAGATGATGATAATGGTAATGATAGTGATAATTATAGTCATAATGATAAGATTAAAAATAAGAAAAAGAATAAGAAAAAATGGCAATAATAATAATAATAATAATAATAATAATAATAATAATAATAATAATAATAATAATAATAATAATAATAATAATGATAATGATAATAATAATAATAATAATAATAATTCTAATAATAATAATAACAATAATGATAATAATAATAATGATAATAATAATAATAATAATAATAATAATAATAATAATAATAATAAAGATAACAATAATAATGATGATAATAATAATAATAATGATAAAGATAAGAAAAAGAATGTTAAAAATTGCAATAAGAATAAGAATAAGAATAAGAATAAAGATTAGAAAAAATAAAACAAAATGGTAATAATAATAATAAGGAGAATAAGATGAATAAGAATAAAGATTAGAAAAAAATAAAACAAAATGGTAATAATAATAATAAGGAGAATAAGATGAATAAGAATAAAGATATGAAAAAAGAAAAAAATATGATAATAAGAAGAATGGTAAGATAAATAGGAATAAGAATGAAAATGATAAGAATAAAATAAGAATAAGAAGAATACGAACAAGAGTTAGCATAATAAGAATTTAAAAAAAAGAAGAAAGACATAACAAATGATAATAATTAGAATACAGAAAATAAGAACAAGAAAATAAAAGAATGAATATAAGAAAAAGAATAAGAACAAGAAGAATAGCAATAAGAATAAGAACAAGAAGAATATAAATAAATAAAAGAAAGAAAGTAAGAGCAAGAATAAGAATAAGATGATGAAAAAGAAGAAATCGCATAAAAATAACAAACGAAGAATAAAGAATAATAATGAAAATAATTATGATAATAATGATAATGAATTTTAAGAAGAAGAGTCAGGATGATACAAAATATGATGATTATACAGATATTAATTATATCAGATAAAATTAATTAATATTAAGTAATAATCACTATTTTGATTTTAATTAATAATTTTAATTGATAGTGATAGCGGTAATATAAGTGAGAATGCTAAGTAATAACTGATAAAGAGAGTAGTAACATTTTCACTGATAGAGGATAATTTTTACGAATATATAATGACGGAGCCAAAGAGGGTAGCCGTGTGGTAATTTTTGTATGTATTTTTAAGATACAAAACGCCACAGTCGTTTACAAATCACCCTATAGCTTGATTGATATGTGGTTTTAAGGTATGTGTATATCCTCGCTTGTTTATATATCCTATGCAGTATTTTCTAGATCAGATTTGTTGACATATTAGGTTGATATTCAATGATGTTACATTATATTTAAAAAAAATATATATTAAATATATTTGATTGGAATACTGCGTTTGATGGATATATCTGTTTAACCTCTATGAAGGTTTGGTAAACACATAAGTATCTTAACATCAATCAAAATAATAGAGATGTTGCTGTTACCAAATTGTTTGTTTGCACGTTTTCGTCCATTACCTTCCGGCCATGAAATTTCCACATATGGAACTCTACGGAGAAAGTCACCCACGTTTCACTACAAGTTGCCCTGTGTCTGTGTTGACTTTCGTTTTTCTGTGTATATAAATACCATGCATGACAGAAGGATTTGTGTTGAAATTGCATAAATACTTTACGATTCGTTTGTTTGTGTTCCTCTATTCTAGTATGGGAATTCTTTGAAATAAAGCAAAAATAAAAATATATTTTTTATATATTTATTGATTATACAAAGGGAGAATGAGAGGGAACTTTAAAGGAAAATATAACCTTATTTTATGTGAATAGGCTCATGCATGTATATTTATTGTAATGATTATGATGATAATGATGATGATGATGATAGTAATAATAATAATAATAACAATGATAATGATAATAATAATGATAATGATAATAATAATAATAATAATAATAATAATAATAATAATAATAATGATGATAATAATAGTGATAATAATAATAATAATAATAATAATAATAATAATAATGATAATAATGATAACAAAAATAATAATAATAATAATGATAATAATAATACAGAATCACAGCATAAACACCTTGGAACGTAAGCAGATGACTCACTCTAAAATGAAGCACAGACTCACATCATCCTCAGTATCTGTCAC